ACAACATTTCCCATTGTTTCAACTGCCTCACCGTGTGGGCAGTGACGTTATTTGATGCACGATAATTAGATTATGAAAAGCACGTACAAGTATAATGATGAGTTTAATTGTTATAGACAGACCTTTTAATGCATTCTTCGTTTTAGCTTGAGGTATACAGCAGTTATTATTAAAGTGAGCAAATTATCTCTTGGGATGTAATGCTCAATGCATTATATTATTAAAATTGCTAAACTGGTATGAACACAACAATATAATGCAAGTAGACCCAACCAGCAGTAATCCCAAAATGTACGTATTACTAGTGTTTGTATACTTATGCTGCAAATACATAGAGGAAATAAAAATAAGCCCCGAATTATATTACAGTATATATCATGTGTATCACATTTCTTCTGATTAGTACAAGTGTTTTATATTTTAAGGCATGAGTAATTATCATTTCCATATTTGCAATTGCAATTTTATTCTGCCGTCAGATTTAATTGAGGGGGGATGGTTGGGATTTCCCTGGCTCTGCTCTATATTTAACTATGGGATGTATTCCCTCTAGATAATAGACCGAATGCACAATGCCACGTTTGAGCGAGCATTGTTCGTATTTGAATAGGTGACTGCCTGGAAATACTGTACCAGCTATTTTGTGGCAGGAGCTGACTGCGAGGTGGCCTGTAGATGGCGGTAAAGCAATTGATTACACTATTTAACACAATTTTTTGTTGCTGGGTAGTAAGTGTTATTTCGTAATTGCTTATGCCTAAAAAGTATATAAAATGGCTATTATTCCCCACAAACTTTGCTTTTGTGACTAGGACAGTGATTTTGAATGTACCCATTTTCAATGAGAAAACGGGCGAATTTGTGTCTTTTCGTTCACATAAAGTGAGAAAACAACAGCATATGAATAAAAATTAACAGGTATTTATACTAAAGTAATATAAAAATGACTACAAAAGATCGAGAAGTGAGTGGTTTTTCGAGATTTACGATGATACTGTAAATCACTTTCACGAATTAGCCCCCAAATGTAGTTTCCCATCATGTTCTCGTTATATTGTCTTTGGTAGCGGCGTTCAAAGTCCAATATATCCTGGTGGAAGCGCTCGCCTTGCTCCTCCGAGGACGCTTCGATGTTCTCCTTGAATTTATTAAGATGAGCATCAAGGATATGGACTTTGAGAGACATCCTACAGCCCATTGTGCCGTAGTTCTTCACCAGTCTGAACCAGCTCCACATATTCTTGGTTCTTTCGGTAAAGTCACATAGAAGGGAAACAATAAAATAATAAAAATATTTTAAAATGCTGTGTTTTTCGCACCTGATGATGGATTGCTTGTGTTGCAGTCGAAACGTCGTGAGAATGTTATTGTTTTATATTTTTATTATTTTATTGTTTCCCTTCTACGTGACTTTAACGAAAGAAACAAGAATATGAATCCCTGCAGACACTAAAGCTTTAAATGAAAATTCAGCTCCACATAGTTTTCGACCTTGTGATTGCCCAGGAAGCCACGAACCACTGCGACAAAGCTGTTCCAAGCCGCTTTCTCCTTACTAGTGAGCTTCTTGGGGAATTAATAGCACTCCAGGATCTTCTTTATCTTTGGTCCGACGAAGACACAAGATTAGACCTTTGCCTCAGACAGCTTAGGGAAGAAGCCTTGAAGGTACTTGAAGGCTGCCGACTCCTTATCTACAGCTCTGACAAATTGTTTCATAAGGCCCAATTTGATGTGCAGTGATGGCATCAGCACCTTCCGGGGGGGGGGTCCACCAGTGGCTCCCACTTGACGTTGTTCCCCCCCACAGAGAACTCGGTCCGCTGTGGCCAGTCCCGCCTGTGGTAGTGCGCCTTGGTGTTCCTGTTGTCCCAAAGGCAAAGATAGCAGGGAAATTAGGTAAAACCGCCTTGGAGACCCATCAGAAATGTCACCATTTTGAAGTCTCCAATGACCTCCCAGCCGTACTCATCATACTTCAAGGCATCCAGCAAGGTCTTGATGCTGTTGTAATCCTCTTTGAGGTGCATCGAGTGAGCCGGTGGAAGAGACGGGTACTTGTTATCATTATGGAGCAGCACGGCTTTGAGGCTCCTGGATGAGCTGTCAATGAATAGGAGCCACTCATGCTGGTTACAGGCGATTCTGATTGCCTCGAACAGACTGGTCACATTGTGGCAGAAGCGGAGCCCATCTTGACGGGTGAAGAAGCTGCAAAAAGGTTGGTGACGCTTCCTCTGATCTGTGACTTGCACACTTTTATCCAACAAGTTCTACTGCTTGAGCCTAGACGTCAAAAGCTCGGCACTGGACTTGATGAGACCAAGATCTCTCATCAAGTTGTTGAGGTCTTTTTGGTTGGGGTAGTATGGGTTTCTCTCCTCAACTCCACCTCTGAAATTGTCATCTGGATCTACAACGTCTTCCTCGCTCTCTGACTTGCTGCTCTCTTCTAAAGACGGCTGCTCTCCCTCCAGAGGACTGGGTACGGGGAGCTCATGGCAGTGTGCCACTGGGGCGATGGATGAAGGAAGGTCCGGATACGTGATAGCAGGTGCATTCTTGCTAGTCCGACGTTTGGAAGGGTCCACCATGCAGAAGTAGCAGTTGCTTGAGTGTTCAGTGGGTTCCCGCCAAATTATTGGAATAGCGAACTTCATGGCTCTCTTTCTCCTCTGTACCATCCTACAAAAATACATTTATTTCACCCATGACTAATGTGTAAGAGATTCTGACATTATTCATATATGATATATTTTTTCAATAACATTGAGAATTATAAAACATTTTTAAATATAAAACTTTAACAATTACATTTTTTGAAACACATTTTATATCAGTTTTTTTGCATTGCTCGCCGGTGAAATGAGGTGCCCAGGGTTTGTCTTGATCCCCAACAGGCATGCTGAAATAAGCCTTGTAGGCCTCACACATCTTAGCAAATGCTTCCACAGAGTACTTTTTCACTCTTGTCTTGATAAATTGGCCGCAGACATAGCAAAATGCGTCTGCCAGATGCTTGCAGCTTCTTGATGCCATCTCAGAAAAATTCAGATATGTATCCACTTAGGCAGCTGGAACTAAACTGAACTGGTAGGCTGAAAGCCCCTGTATTTATGCTACTATTTATATTACTGGAAAGTTCTAGAATGTTCTAGAAGTTACTCCAAGTTTACACAGCACTAAATATATCTGGAATGTTCTGGAAAATAGGTAAATTTAAAAATATCACTGTCCTGGTCACAAAAGCAAAGTTTGTGGGGAATAATAGCCATTTTCTGTACTTTTGAGGCAAAAGCAATTGGGAAATAACACTTATTACCCAGAAACAAAAATACAAAATTGTTACACAGTGTTATATATTGACTATTTATATGCTCCGCTTTGAGGGTCACTCATCCTAACCCGTGGTGGGGTTTCTCTGAATACTGTGGTTTTCTCCCACAAGAAGTCAAAGCACTCGTAAATGGAATTCACCAAAATATCCTAATGTCGGAGGCCCCTCCTGAAAAAGAGTACTGAGACTTAGTTAGGCTTCCCAAGATAAAATACATTTTACCTTCAGCGTGCATACTATCATCTGTTATGTGTCCAGTTATAATTGTTTTTTAGTTCATGGGGATTGTTTGACCATACTTCATTCTGGTCAGTCCTCGTTGGTAAAAGCCGTTATTATTTATCGCCTCCCCCCACCCCTCCCACCATTGTAAATATTACAAATTGCATTCTGTGTGAATCAAGTATCTTAGAAGCATCACTTTACATGAAGCATCTGCACGACATGAATCTTGTCCACGGGCTTTAACACAATGCAGCTGACAGACTGCTGCATGAACGCAGCATCTTGATTTCAATTCCCATTCATGCACATCACTGGCATTGGACTTCTCTATGTCCTGTAGTTCTGTTGCTGCTGTGGTATTCTATTAGACCAGTGAATTTAAAATTGAGACTGTGATCCACACAACATTTTATTTCCCTCATTAAAATGCAAATCAATTTATAACATTTTTGACATGCGTTTTTCTGGATTTTGTTGTTGTTATTCTGTCTCTCACTGTTCAAATAAACATATCATTAAAATTATAGACTGATCATTTCTTTGTCAGTGGGCAAACGTACAAAATCAGCAGGGGATCAAATACTTTTTTCCCTCACTGTATGTCATCAAATTAGCAACCTTTCTCAATGGTTACCGAATTTACATAACAATTGAACCTAGTGCACAGGTGAATAGAAAAGTTTGGTTGACGTGGCAACCTTGGCCTGTGGGAGGTCGCTAGAACTTAATATGAGAGGCCACTCACCTTGGTTGACTCAGTCGAGATTGAGGACTGTACCTGGAGTGGTGGGTCAACAACACCCATGCAAGGAAAGACAAAGGAGGGTTAATACTGTGGCATCAAATCTATCGCATGTCGCACCAGTTTTCTAAAGATATCTGCTTAAATGACTTGTACCCATCAGTCAAGGATAAATGGGGATTACAGTGGATTGCTCAATAAAGTACAAATGCCATAGTGTGTTTTTTATGGGTGGTGGTCATATATTCTTATGTTTCACAAGTACCTTTCATATACATTTATACCTGTACTAAGACGCATGAACAACCTGCTATTACAATACTTATTCCATGGCTATAATTCTATGTTTACAGAATTGAATCAGACAATGTAAGTCTACACATGAAAGCAGGTAAATAAATACACATTTCCTGCACAATTCTATTCGTACAAGTGATTTATTCATCTAAGAATTGGGATACTTTACCCAATGCAGGATAAAACAACTAAACTTCTCTGAAGCAGCTAGCTCTGTTTGGCACATATATACACACATGACATTGTTCTCTCGGGATTTAAACGGAGAGCCATGGTTACCCCGTACTTAAATACACAATGACCCCCCCCCCCACACCAGTGAATGTGCAGTTCACACATTGTATATTAAGAAAATATTTTAAAAACGCCCCATTCTAAATGTGATATGTTTGTAGGAACAGGTCATTGCAACCTCGGTGCTCGTCGTGTAGGCTTTTCAACGTAATTTTTTTTTCTAGTAACACCGCAAATTATTTTACCAGCGTGAATCATCAATGCTGCAGTTTCCACTCATCTGTGGCTGCTTCACGCATCACGCGGAAGCGCCTGTCTGCTGCAGAAGACCTCTGCGTCTGAAACAAATGACATTGCGAAGGAATATCTACGCAAAACATTATCTCTCTCTCTCTCTATACAATCATTACATCCCTTTGCCTGCGTATGAGCTGATGGTGCAAAAAAGTTACCTGACAAGGCGGGCTCCACGGCAGGTGCGGCACGCGTCCCGAATTCGCACGGCTTGGTAATCCGCGTTGGTGGAATCATCATCAGCAGCAGCAGCAGCAGCTGAGTGCAGTGAAGTTGCAGCTGAGGGCTGCCCGTGCTACAGGTGCGCTCCTCGTGTCAATGGGCAGCGTGAACTCGGCACTTCAGCGCCGCAGCAAGAGCTCGGCTGTGGTGGCCCATCCTGGGCCCGATGGCTCCTCCTCAAGCAGCCCGATGTCATCCCCTCAGCCCTCTCCATCCGTCTCTGGCAGGACACCGATGCAGCATCAGCAGCAGCATCATCAGCAGCAGCTACACACAAATACAGGTTCACCAGCGCAGCACGGCATGTCGCACGGTGTCCTTTTCGCTGACGTCAATGTGCGTCGTTTGTTGAATTAGATGCGTTGAGAGTTGTATGGATTTATTTTCTTGGTTCTTTCGGTAAAGTCACATAGAAGGGAAATAATAAAGTAATAAAAATAAAATGTAATTTAAAAAAATTGTGTGGATTTGATGTCAAATTCAGGTATTGTGCCGTCACCGTTTTTTGTTGTTGCAGTTATTCGCTGTTTTGTTTTATACGATTTAGTTAAACGTGACCAATGTCCAGTGGGGTTTTCTTTTCTGACTTAAAAAGAATGAACAGAGAAGCAAACATAAGCCAGCCGAATGCTTTTTTGTATTCGGTACTCTGAACTGAAATGACAGATGATAATATAAAACATGTAATTCACGAAGATACTGCGATATGCACTACACATTGGATACAAACTACTGTGTGAGTAATGTTCTATAAGTAATGTGTATTAAAACAACTATTACATCATGTAAACGAGCATTCAAACATATGTTCTTATTTATATCATTGCAAACTACCATACGCCTTTGTGATCGGCGTTTATTTACAAGCAGATGTTCTATCCAACTGAATCGAAAACCCCACCAGGTTAAACTTCATTGGCATGCATAAAATTAGCGTGTATGGTTACTGCGTACGTGTTGGGTGCATCTTGTAAAAAACTGTTTTAAGATAACTTTTGTTTTACTAGAGCATAGCCGTGCCACACTGATTGGAAGTCGAAACGGATGACTGCAATTGCTATTCTGAGCAACATGAGTTTTGATAACTTGTGAGCAGTATTTGCTTGAAATTAAAATGAATCATTAGTGTCTGATAAAGTCCTCACATTTTATCTTTTGACTTAAAGCTTTCGTGACTGCAGGAATTCATACTCATTGGGTCTTTCGGTAAAGTCACGTAGATAGAAAAATAATTTTAAAAAATCACGACGTTTCGATCGCAACACAAGCAATCGTCCTCAGGTGAGGACGATTGTGTTCCGATCGAAAGGTCGTGATTTTTTAAATATAATTTTTCTATCTACGTGACTTTAGCGAAAGACCCAGGGAGTATTTTTTTTATTCTTATTTATACTACTCAATATGTCCCTGATGGCTTTTGTCTATGTTATTCTATTATGCATAGGAATAAAACAGAATTTCAAATATGCAAGACCTTTAAGTGGCGGTTACAGCTGGATAGGCTTCACAAAGCGTGAAAAAGCAAATGTCTAACTGATGGGAGTGTTATACATAATGCAATATGTGCACAGGATTGAAATGCACACAGCAAGATTTATTGTTTTCAGACGGAAAGTTGCGTTGGGTAGGGAACCAGGAGGATGTTCGTGGGGTAAGAGTTGATATGAGGGCATGCAATTGAGGAGCTCAATGACATTTTGCACGTAATCGTTTACGATTTTGGAGAAACCTACATGGACATCACAAAAACATACTATGCCATTTTAAAGCAATTATTGCATTACCTCGATGTATTACGAATAATGTGCTTTCATTCATTATAGATTACAAATCTTTCCAGGAAAATGCACCAAAGAATGATACGAGTTCCAAAAATGTAATACATTTTCATGCTCGCTCTGTATATCATGAATGCCGCTGTGTTCCTTTGTGAAATACTCAAAGTGTCTTCATTATAGAAAAGGATGCCACTGTTCAGAAGTATGGAGTCATCACATTTTTTCCTCACCTCACTGTTAGTATGTCCCAATTTATTTCGGCCAATTCTGTCTTCACTAGAGTCCATGTGTTGTGTAGTACCCAGTGATTCTTACCTCCCTCCGCTCCTTCGCCTGTCCCGACAATGTCGTGGTTGCTGAATTTAGAATCGCTATAGACTGGTGGGGCATTATTTACTCAAGCCTTCTCTCCTTGGAGAGGCAGCGTTTCATGGAAGGATCAGTGTGCGTACGATCTGCTGTGACGTACAGTTCAGAAATATGGGTGACTCATGAAAAATTTCGAGAAAACTGAATAGTGTGCAATGAAGCATGGGGCACTGATAATGCACAATTGAAATGACCGTAACACTGAAAGACGTTAAGAGGATCGTGTGGTGAATTACACCGTCCGAACTATATTTAAAAAAGTAAGTGGGCTTGGGCAAGATGCGTCGCTAGAAGAGATGATGGAAGATGCTCGAAAATAACAACGGAGTGGCAGCCAAAGAATGAGAATAACAACGAGAATAACAACGGAGTGGCAGCCAAAGAATGGAATGCCCCCGAGAGGACGTCTACCGAGGAGTGCTGAATTGTTGTATCGCAAGATTAGTGGGGGTAGCGACAGTGCTGGGCAGCCTCTGTCTATCGGTGGGTTGACTGTGGCCAATGATTTCTTCAGTACGAAATGTTTAATTACTTTTGCTAGCGACACGGTGTGTACTTTAACACAGTAATGTAATGCTGATTAAATTTTGCGTGTGTGTGCGCGTGCGTGTGTTGTAATTACATTTTCAACATTTATTCACTGAAAAATTCCCTATTGCAATCATATTGTATATTTATGTTTTCATTTGATATTAAATAATATATGCAACCATAATTTGGAATTAAACCCAGGGGTAATTCCTAATAATTTCGTAATTTTCCATCAGTTTTTTTTTCTTGACGTGCAATGCTTTTTTTAGTATATTTTGTGGTAAATGCTAGAAAATAATATATATATTTTTTTATCAATCTTATCAGCAGCAGGGGCGTTAGAAAAAAATACACTAAGACAATTAAGAAGTTATATCGAGGGATATGTTTGAAAATAGGAAGGAAGCATAATAAGCTGTGGCCCTTTAACGAGTCCCCTTCTATCACTGCCAAATCCTATTGATATCAAAGTGCGGAGGTGGTGGGGGTTTTGTCCCCTGCTAGGCCAAGTGGATCTGCCACTTGTCAGTCAATTTCCCATCCAGATTGCTCGCTGACACTGCTGCGGTGCTCATTTTCACATTCGCTTTTCCCCGAGCCGTCTCCAGCGCGAGCATAACAAGCGGCATGTCTGCAATTGAAGGTTGGTTTGCCTTTCAAACTGGTCCAGCGAATTCCCATTCCGTTCGTATGGTGTTGCAAGAATTGGTATTTTGGTCAGTTGTATTTTGAAATGCATTGCACTATATTATATTGTAGCAGTAACTTATGTTGAACGTGATTTTATTTAATGTTCTTTTTTTTTTTTCTTGGCTTGATCTACACTTGAGATCGTTTGTTTTGAAATGTATGCTTGATCATGCCATTTAGAGTTGTTGCATTTCATAGTCAGATTTTTTTTTCTTTGTGCCCATGAAATATTTGCTATCATATGTTCAAAATCAACTTTTGTAATAATCTAGTGTGCACTGTAAAACAATTGATAATGGAAACAATATATGTAATTTAGTGTAAAGTATTCTCAATAACTAAAATTAAAACACTGTATAGCAAATAATTTGTCAACATTTATTTTGCATACATATGTGCATGAATTACTAGATTTAGGTCTGAACTATGTCATACCGTGCAAAAAAATACGACAGTAGTGAATTCAAATGATTTGCTAAATAAATCAGCTTACATGATGAAGTTATTTAAAAATTGCATAAATCAGTTTTACTTTAATATTGTTACACAATGTCATTTTGATAACTGAGGACCAGAGGACATATGATATGGTGCTTCATGACATGCACCTATTTAAAATCTCAGTGTTGAAATTCATGAAAATTTCCTGGTAGCAGATTTAGAAGTCTTGCCATGTAATTATTTTTTTTGGCAATACTGTATACTATTTCAGAATTTTATTATTAATGAATTCATTCTTCCTAGATAATACCATGCTCTTGTTATTTCTGCTGCTGAATGTGATGGAGATAATACATTCAAATGCACACTATAGTGTTTTTATTTAAACGTTATCCTCCAGACATTGTTATGCAGTACAATTTGGTAATATGTAGTGTCAAAAGGGTAAGTTACCATTAAACAGATATATGTGAATATATGAATATATATTCAGTGTTTATCAAGCTTGATTGGGTCTCCCGACTCTGTTTCAAGAGGGATCTACTTGGAATATGTTTGTTTTCTTTGTAGGAGGATCAAGGTTTGCCTGTGGACTTAATCTCTGTGCAAAGTGGTGAATGTGTGGATTTTCTCCAGATATTCTCACCATATACCAAATGCTCATTAATGGTATTCGCCAAACATCCCAATGTGGGGAAAAAAGAGCCCGATATTCAGTGGGGCTTTCCTGGGTAAATTATTGGCCTAAGAAAGTCCTTTATGTCTAACCAGGTAAGAGCCCAGTGAAACGAAACTTTTTTTTTAAGGGAGTCCTGGGTAAGAACAAATTAATCAAAATGGTATTTCCCCTCCCAAAATTAAACACAGAATAAAGTACAGTTCTGTAATGTGCAAGTGTGCAAGTGAACCATCATTCTCAATTATTCATACAAGCCAAGTCGAGAAATATAACAAACGCCCATGTACTATACAGGACTTGCAACATGCCAATGGTAGTCACATAAAATATTAAATTTAGCTTGAGTTTGATTTCAATAATATTTTAGGGCTCATGCTGAAAATAAAAACCCTCCATATTGTCAATAAAAATTGAGTAAAATTGTTTTATTGAATTAATTTTGTTGGCTATATTGTGTAGACTATGAAATACATTTTAAACGCAAACTTAGTTATGCAAGGGAATATATGTACGTATTTGTACATGTACGCTTATATTAAAAACAGATAAGTAAACATTTAGAAGTAAAAACACATAAGCAAGGCAATGTGTTACTATATAAAAATGTAACAAATTTTTATTTTAGATGTTAAGACATTTACAGTGGTCATATCATTTGTAGTTAGAACTGGGCTGAACACGATTATTCTTTTTCTTCAGATGTCTTGTATGATACAACATGCGAAAGAGAACGGCTGAGAGAAATGGGATTTATTTTTTTGGTGGGCAATTTTCAAGTTATAAACCTGTGAAAGT